GTAGGTCCCACCTGGTGATGCTGTAATTTCTCTTGGCCTTCTTCAACGTCTTATTGTAGTAGGTTGTTACTCACTCCCACCCATCTTCAATTTGGGACAGCGCTCCTGCAATCCCTACATGACTCACGTCTGTGTCAACGACAGACCTTTCTCCTGGCTGTGGGTAAGTACAAATACAGACAGTATGGACATCCCCCTTTAGTGTTTGAAATGCGGCCTCCATTTCTGGAGTCCACTGGAAGGTTTCTCCTCCGTGAGGTTGGTTAGCAGTTTCGCAGTGTTGACAAAACCAAAAATAAGTGCATAAGTGATAAGTGCATAGGCCCAGGAATCTTCCAACCTGTATGGTTTGCATCCTGTAATGTGTTCAATAATCATGTGAATTGGGCTGTCAGCATAACATAAAAAGCATCTTCAAGATGAAGACCAAATAGATGCTACTGCATCTCTATTATTTGTTTATTACACAAAGGTGTGCACTTCATGTTTCAACATCTTCCAGGTCATCAGGTGATCAGTGACTTACAGAAAAACAAAGTACTTGAATTACGTTGTCTTAATATGAATCCATAATTTCGTTTTTGTTCTTTGCTCTTGGCCATTCCTGTATGGCTGTCAGATTCTTGTAGTCAGTTCTCACCCCCTCCGGTGTCACAAAATGCCCAAGGTACCATACTTCCTTCTGAAAATGTTGGCCAGTCTCCAGATTGAGCTTCAGGTGGGCATCTTGGACCTGCTAGAACACTTTCTGCGGGTTGAGCATGTGCTCTTGGAACATGCAATCAATCATGATCACATCATACAGGTACATGAGACATGTTACATAAGTGAGGCCTCTTAAGATGGTCTGCATTAACCACTCAAATAATGCAGAGTCCAAAGGGTTTGAATGTGAACTGGCATAACCTTGATCCATCGAGAACATAGGCTCCTCATCTGGCTGCAGATCCATCTGCCAATAATCGCTCTTCAGGTCCAGAGTGGATCACCATTTGGCTTCAGCCAGCGTGCCAAGAATGTCATCACTCCGGGTTGGTGGGAAGTAGTCTTTCTTCATGACATCATTCAGTTTCCATTAATGTGTCAGAAGCACAGGTCCCCATTTGTCTTCTGTACGAGAACTACAGGGGATTGCCAGGGGCTGTCTTACTGTTCGATAACCACACATAGTTGCATGTCCTTGAGCATCTTGCCGACATCCACCTGCTTTGCTAGGCACAGCCTCCTCAGCGGTTGAATTGGGCGAGCCTGTCTCATATCTATACAATGGTACACTCTGTTGGTCTGACCATAGTCATCGCTCTTCATAGCAAAGATGTCTCTGTACTTGGTGAGGAACTCAGGATTCGGTGTCAGGTTTGTCCTGGCTGCTGCAATCATATTCTGCAACTTTGGGTAGTGTCTTGGACCTGTGGTTGTTCAACATTGGGTGTGGCCACCAGGATGACCGGCTCACAGTGTGCTGGGGGAGGATATTATTGTGAGCTTCTGGTCACAACTGGTAGAATTCTTTACCCTCACAGGTACCTCCCAGCAGTCTCAGACCAGAGTTGTGTCTGTATAGAGTCCTTCTGGAGTGTGGGCTTCTGGACACAGTTCTGCCAGACCATTTTCCACTCCAAGGGGGCTCTCCAATTGAGCCATCACAGCTTCCTCCCATTGTACAGGTATATCCTGAACATTGGCCACTGCCAGGCTGGAAGGCTGGCGCTCCCTAGCAATACCTCTTCCTCTGCTAGATGCAGCATTTGACTCCCTAGGTCCACAGATACGTCATACAAGGGGTACCCAAAAGAAACCGAACTTATTTTTTTTTAAACTTATTTATTCAAATTTTAAGCACAAACCTTCAATCCCCTTCAAAGTACTCTCCACTTACACTAATACACTTGTCTAGTCTTCTATTCCATTTTTCAAAAAATTGTCTAAATTCATCTTTTGAGATGCTTAACAGCGCCTCCGTCGTTTTTTCCTTTCATGTCTCTTTTCATTCGAGGAAACAAAAAAAAGTCACACGGGGCAAGGTCGGGTGAGTATGGAGGGTGAGGAACAGGGGTCATACCATTTTTGGTCAAGAATTGTCATACAGACAGGGCTGTGTGAGCAGGAGCATTGTCATGATGGAAAAACCAGTCACCCGACTGCCACAAATCTGGCCGCTGAGCTCCAAGTCACTCCCGACAGCTCCACAATTTCTTCAATGGTCCGTCGTCGATCTTCCTTGATGATCTCACGAATTTTTTCAACATTTTTATGTGTTTGGGCCGTGGAACGACGACCAGAACGAGGTTTGTCATCAATTGACATTTCACCATTTTTGAAACGGGAAAACCACTCAAACACTTGAGTTTTCCCCATAGCATCGTCCTTGTACACCGTTTTTAACATTTCAAGAGTTTCTGTTCCACTTTTCCTGAGCAAAAAGCAGAATTTCACCGCCGCACGCTGTTCACGAAAATCAGCCATTGCAAAAACGACGATCACACAAAACAGTTGTCACTATAAACTCTGCCGAAACTAGTCCTTACCTTCTGAAGCAACAGTAGTTGGCTTATCGACTCAGGAATGTTAGCTCTATACACTCATAGCGGCAAAACACGGTACTACAAAAGCTCTGCCCACAAAAAAATTAGTTCGGTTTCTTTTGGGTACCCCATCATATATGGGCAGGATGTCCAGCCCCAAGATGAATTCATTTGAGATATTGTTAACAAATAGCCAAATTTTCAGTGGTTATCACCCCGGGGCCAGTGTCAAGATTCATGAAGTCAAACTTCATTCAAGATGGGAAGGGCTTCCCCAGATACCGTCTGCAGCATGTAGCACTGATTCAGCTGTTTTTCGGGCCATCTGGCTGTGATGTTGGGTCTGGCGACAGTCATATACGCCTCAGCGTCAATAGTCACGAGGCATGGTTTGTCACTTACCCAGCCCTGTTTGACTAGGATAGCATTGACCCTTTCTGTTATGAGTCAGGGCATTGTTTTATTTCCATCGCCAGTCATTGTTTTCTGCCTCCCTGCCATAGGGCAGTTACCCCAGAAGTGGCCTGGCTCCCCTCATTTCCAGCACGCTGCTTGTTGGTGGTCTCTTGTTGTGGTGGGTTGGCAACAGCATGACATAATGTCCCTGTGCTCACTTCCCAGAGTATGGAGGGCATCCAAGCTTTTATATCCACTGCCTTCAGCTCTAGGAATCAAGTGGTCTGTGATGGCAGCAAATTCTTGCAGATTTTCCCTGGATGCTGGTTCTTCTCAGCTGAGCATGGAATGCTTCCTCCAGGTGGTGGTCAGCATAGCAATTCTCGAGCACCGCAGTAAGCTCTTTGTATATTGGCACAGTGGGGATGCTATGTAGAAACTATGCAGCATGCTCATTCAAAGTAGCTGTGAGATATGAAGCCTTTCTCCAGGTGTTCAGCTACTGTGTACTGCTGTGGTCTCGAACTGATGTTTTAACGTGGCCCATGAGGCTGATCCATTGAATTTAGGGGTCTACACCAGTTTCCATTCTTTTGTAAGACCCACACTAGGCCGGGCCTTCAGTGGTAGACTATTCGCTGCACTCCTGGCACCCTGGGCTTCTGCTTCCTCTAGCTGCTTTTTTAATTCATGCCTAGCCATTTTGAGTCCCTCAAAGAAATCATCTGTGACTTCTGCTGTCCTGGCCTCAAGTCCTCACCACATGAACAGCCAAAGTATGTTCTCTTTACATGAGGAACTTGCATGAATGATTGGGTTTCCTGTACTTCAACCAAAACTTCTGAAAATATTTTATGTTGATAATACAGACCACTATAATTTATTTCATCCCTCAAAGTGAGAACTGATTTCTTTACAGCCAAAAATTCTTCATCATCATAAAATCTAGTTATATTTCTATGTAGAACATCTTTCTCAAAGTTTTGTAAGTGTGTAACCTGATTCTACATAATTATTGTGCCTCTTTCCAGTAGGCCTGAGTATCAGGATACCATTTTGTTGAACTGGCTATAATAACCCTTGATACAAATCCAAGCCCTCTCTATGAAATGCCCTTTTTTGGACACTTGCCATCTAATGACAGCTTCTTTGAAAAATGTGTACATTTTGAAAACTATATTCTTTATTTTTCAGCACAGAACTACGTGTTCATTATTAACGGCATCTGTTGCATCACTAATGTCAAAGTTTTCAGATATCATTGATGAACATTACTGGCAGACAACAGTAATGAAATCTAACAGTTCATATTAATTGAAACATTAACTGACCACTGTCTTGGTGTTAAATGTATGGCTAGGATTCAAAGACTACACACCTCATCTTATTTGTATCACAACTAAATAACAGTGTCCAGTCTCCAGCTGATTGCATGAAGGAAGTAAAATATTTGTTGCATCCTTAACAGGAAGATAACTTTGTTCTATTTGTTTATAAAATGATGATAGTTGATTCAATGTAACTCAGAACCCACTTGTCCCAATAAGAGATTTGTACTGCCATCGTCAGAAATTAAATCTCTGTCCGGTAATATCGTTCTTGACTTCATTCATAAATATATTTGTGGGTTCAAGTAATAAAGAAATGCACTCATCCAAAACTGAATATCTGGCAGGCGGAGTAGGACAGTGATTTCCTAATGCTTCTGGTACAGCTCTGCCTCATATGTCTTTCAGTTTTCTATGTTCTATAAATATGTCTTTCTACAGTAAAGAAGTCAGTTTAATGGCTGACAATGATTGGATTGAGGCTTGATCACTTTCCTGACTTCTGTAGTAGTCACTCCAAGCAGCTGAAAACTTAAAAGTATCCCTCAGAGCTCACTTGGTACGTTCAGAATACTTAAATCTCTAACATTGTAGATAACATGTTTAAAATAAAATATATCTGTGGTTGAGATTGCTATTAAAAATGTATGTTTTAAGTAAAATGTAATTTCTAAAACATTTTAAAATTATTTTGTATTTTACAGTGATAATGAAATATAATTGAAACCTTCACTCTGTGCAAATNGAGACCGGAGAGGTGGTAGAGGACCCCCAGGGGGGATAGGTTATGACCCTAGGGGTGATTCTCATGGACTGGACCCACGAGGTGATCCCAGGAATCCTGACTACCATGGTGAACTTCCACGGCGCTTGGAGGGGCAGCTGAGAGGCCCTATGGAAGTACCTCCACCACAGCAGCCAGCTAAACCTCCTGCAATCCCAGCAAAGCCCTTGAAAGGGGTACCATCAGTTGTGCCAGACTTTGTGATACCAAATAACAAAGAATCCCCCACAGGGGCTTCTCCTGGCCCCAAGTTCCCAGAGGCTCCCAATCTGATGCAAAAACTGAGTGAGATGACAGGAGGTGCAGACACGTCTGTTGACAACATCATCTCAAAAGGGAAGGAACTTATCTTCATGAAGTTTGGACTTGGCGGTGGCAAGTAGCAATGTGAGCAGGTACTGTGGTTGGTGCTGGCTTCTCTTCACTTGCATTAAACCTAGCTGTGATAAACTATATAAACTACCTTCTTTCTTGGAAAGTATTAACAAGGTACTGTGACATTGCATGTTATATCTTTAAAAACTATTGTTATACAGGAGATGAACGGAAGAAAGGGGGTGAAGGATGAAGATATGAAAGAAATTATTTTCCCCACAAGATCAGCCCTGTACATGCACTAAAACTCACAGTCAGGAGACAAGATATCCTGAATTTGAAAAGTGCATGTTACTGCAGCCAGCCTGATGTAAAAATATTGTAATTAAACTGTGTTTAATCTGTAAACAGTAACAAATTCAGACCATCCATTGAATTTGCAATGGACATTATACCAGTATGGAAATAAACGGCATTCAGCACAACATAATTTTTGTGAATTATTTTTGTTTTTGTTCATGTGTTATTTCATCTTATTAAAGAATATGAAGGAGGAAAGGTGCATAACATATTTTTCCCATGATGCCAATAAACATGGAATGAATTGTGGACATTAGTAATTGTCATGAAGTGTTGGTTCTACAACTTGCATGTTAACATAAGTTGCATCTGCATCAGAAATTATTGATTCTCTGCAACATTTTTCTTATTTTTCAAAAGTTCACCACACGCTTAACTGCTTCTACATTAAAAAGCGAAGTCACAGCATCTGGATAATATTTTTCAGAAACCCAGACAAGATCGTTGAGAAGAGTCCTTAGAAAATTTTGTTTAATATAAAGGTTTGTTATGTATCAATAATAAATGTGACCATATTTTAACCCTCTTTAACATTTTAAAATAATTTTTGCAACCATTTTTAATAGAACATAATATTATGTTCTATGTACAGTCTGTGTAGTTTTCTTGTTTATTAAATGATCCTTTATTACAGCATTTAAAAACAAATTTTCAGTATGAATGCATTTAATGAGTAGTCTTTGCTTGAGTGATAGCAAAGACTGATGAGGTGTTGGTAATATTATTTTCAAAATCTGCTGATTCAAAATACTTTTAAAAAATAAATGTATGATATAATTATAATTGCTGGACCAATGAAATAGCGTATAGTAAGGCTGGAGTAAGAGTACCCAGACATATTCATGTATTTGAAAATCTAATGCTGAGCAATTTTGTGAACAGCATAAACATCTTTTAGTTTATTTTATTTTTTGAAAGACACGAATTCAGTATGTTTTCTTACATGCTGTATGATCAATAGAATGTCCAGATTATAGGAGTATTACTAAATTAACAAAATGGTATTACTGTGTATTCTGATTTTATAATGCCATTGATTCTTTGTGGTCTTATTTTTAAAGTTTATTTCTATTCAGTGTGTTCTGTTGAAACCTGTGTTCAGTTTTATATATGTTCTCTAATGGACAGTTAGGAATAGTTATCAGTGTATAAATTATCAAACAACACAGGAGAACCTGAGGTATGAAATTACTGGGCTTCTTTATTGCATTTCTGATATTACTGATAAATATTGAGTCCAGCTCAGACCTTTAAAAGTTTACTTCCTTACAAAATATAAACCTTCCAACTTCCGTTTCAGATATGAATGTTTATATATGGCAGTAACAAGCTCTAGTACAGCCCTTGAGATGCTAATAGTCACCCTACTAATGAAAACATTCTCGGCTTTTTATGGAACATAAAAGTTCATTGTCATCTTCACATGAGCCAGCCACTGTCCCTATCCTGAACCATATAAATCCAGTCCACAAACTTCCACTCTGTTTTTTAGGATCCATTTTAATATTATTTTCCAATATGTGTTTAGGTCTTCCAAATGGTCTCTTCCTTTGGGGCTTTTCAACCAGAGTTCTGTATGCATTACACATAAAAACAGGTAAAACGATAAAGCTATTCCTGTAACAGGCCATGGAGGCCCATAAGATTGTGTGACAGCAAGGCTCCCACAGCGTCAAGATTTAATGCCCTATATAAGTGTGATCTAAGTCCAGTTAATGTATGTTATGTTCCATGAAACATAACAGTTGTGGCAATTCAGGATACAAGGAACTTATAAGCCCATTGTTTTGCATTGTAAGCCCCTAATATTTTGATGATATATATTGAGTGAGTTATTATCAGAAGAATATAGTAAAAATCTGTTATCATAAGTCTGAGCACTGATTCCCAAATGATCTTGGTTTGATTCAGCATTTGGTCTGTAAGTATTATTTAATCTCTCTAAACTATTAGTCTTGAAGTTACAAGCTGAGCCAGAAGTCTGTTTCACCATAAAAAATCCTCATTTCTTGTTAAAGAAGTTCTTTGTCTAGTAGACATATTTTCTACTGTCTTTGTTGAAGTTTCTCCAGGATTCTGTGAAAGATGAATGAAATTTAATTTTATTGGACTTATTACTTCTATGTTAGAAGATTCGATTTTCCAACCTAAACCAATTGGAATTGCAGCCTCTTCTAATAGCTGTGCATTAATATGAGAAACAAGTTGCTTAGAAGTCACATCTTTACCTAATCCATTTAACTGGAGTCCATGGTTTGTAAAAAGTCTCATATTAAGGTCTATATTTTAGAGCATACAGTGCTCATATATTTAAATGCATTTAGGTAATTTTCTATTGAACATAGTAAATTCCTTGTTTACACAAGAAGATTTTATCAAGTCATAACGATATGGAACACTCAACAGGATGATGTTAGTAAGGTCATTGTCTCTGACAACATTTACAATGTGTCTTAATACATTCTCAGAGTTAATCTTGCTTACATCATTGGCACCTCCCCAGAATACCAATACGTTCCTCTTTGTTAAGTTCATAATCTCATTTTTTGCTGATATCATTAGAATATTAACACCAGAACCCGGTTTCACAAAACCACATCTCACATTTGTCATTAGTCAAATTTTTAACTTCAGCTGCATATCCTCTTGCATAACAGTCTCCTATTATTACCAGTTTACTCTTGCATTTGGGAAGATGATTTGAAACATGAGTTCACAAGTGGGTCACTATTGCTGGGAATTAATTTTATCATTTCCTGAAGACATTATTCCATCCCTGGCTCTCATAATAATTACAGCATTGACAATCGTTAAAATATGATAAGTTGACTCCACTTCGGCACATATTAACTTCACGTGTCCATCAGCAAATTCTTGAAGGTTAAGTTGCGTTGGGTGCAACTTTCTGCAGCCTTCTATTCCTTGCACCATCTTAGGTGCAAATATTTTAAACACCCTGTTCTCAGACACACTTAGTCTGTGTTCTTCCCTTAAGGTAAGGCTAAGGTTCAAAATTACAGCTTTGTTTGTATATTGAGCTTAACTTTTTCAGTAGCATATGTAACAGAGCAATTTGGCTCAAGCAGTAATGTGTCGGACTTGTATTTGGGGGATCCTCAGTTCAAGTGTTGGCTGGAATACCAGATGTCTTGAGAGGTTTTTCATGGCTTACCTCAGTCTGTCCAATCAGATGCTGTGATAATACCTTAAATTAGGCCTCAGCTGCTTCCTTTCCCTTCTTTCCAATCCATTTTTTGCCATTATTAATTGCTCAACACTGTGGCTGAGCTACTGACATCATCAGATAAACTACATATAGAATTAGGTAATGGACAGGAAGACAAAAAGATTTTGAACTGGGTAGTAGTAAGCATTTCTGGAATATAATTTGCTCTTACTTTTGTTATGAATGGAAATTTGATTCATTAGTGTCATTCCCAGAGATTTTTGTCATTGCCACATGTTCAAAGAACTTGAAAGAAATGGTGACTAGTCGGCTCCTTGCTCCAGGCCATTGTGTATAGCAAATGCACATGATGAATGTTTACTTATATGGACCACACTTCTTCCGGAGGTTCCATTCAGACATTCTTTAATTAGCCTGATTAGTTTCATGGGTATACTGAATTCAGTGAGAATGTTGTACAGTACATCCTCCTGACTGCATTATAGGCTGTCATGAATTCCATAAGTGCCTGCTGTATTGTCTCACTGTACTCACATTCTTTCTTTAGTATCTCACAAATGCAAAAAAAAAAAGATCAGTAGTTAATCTTTTATGCTGAAATCCATACTGATAAACCCCAGTAGTTTTATTTGCATATGGAGTTAACCTTGAGAGAAAGATGAAGACAATTTTTTACGTAGTTGGTATTATTAATATTTCCCAGTAATGACTACAGTCTTATGTCCCATCTTGTAGATAAGTAAAATAATATATTCTTTCCACTGCTTAGGCAGTTCTTCCATATTTAAAATGTACAACAGTATGGATCTGAAGATCCCTGAGCTGTGAAACTAGAGTTTATATCAAAGTGCTTCAGAATCAAACTGCGTTAAGAGACAGTGCTTCAGACTGACCTGTCTGATGTGTCTCTTGGACAAGAGGTTTGTGTGGGTGTAACTTGTCAAATTGTTTTTCCTAGATATAGCTTTTTAAAAATTCTACCTCCTACACTTCAAAGCAACGTGATTAGTCTCAGAGTAATACTGTTGAAAGTTGTGGTACAATATGGTACTGTAGTTGTCATCTTGTGAATGTTACTTTATCCCTCACTTTAATGAAAACCCTCCTTCTTTACAGTTCTGTTAAGATCACTTTGTTTAATTTAAGTTTTTTACCTACAGTTTAAGGGGATATAAAGGAAATATTAAATAAAAAGAGCATGATTTTTGGGATTCGAATTTCCTCTAATTCAGAGAGCACAATGTCTTGAAAGAACATACTGCCTCCATCTGTTGAAGAGTAAGCCAAGCAAGAAGCCAGCAGAAGCAGGAAGCAAGCTGCCTGCCAAATATTTCTTTTAGATTCTTGCTTGGCTAACTTTCTGACACCGATACTGAGGCAGTATATTTTTCCAAAATGTTGGGCCCTCTGTGAACTGCACAGCGTTACAACCCAGAAGACTATGTTATACATAATCACCACTGTGAGAACCTCAAATCCAACAACATTTTAGTAATCCTTTTTTTTAATTGGCATACTTTTGATGATAAAATTAATTAATAAAAGGTAATATTACAAGCATTATCCCAAAGAGTATTTGAGTCATTGTGCTTTCAGTTTAAATCAATCTCTTGCAGTTTAATGAAATGATAAAATTCTGTTAACTCATAGGTAATAAAAGGAAGATGCCCAAGTGCCTTCACAACATATATTTCAGGAAAACTGTCCATGGAATATCAAATTTGAGTTCCAAATTTTAGTCTAAAGCACTTACAAGTTTGTGACTTTATGAAAGAGTTAGTAAGCAATATGTTTTTTCCATAACATGCTGTATTTGGAACTGCCTTTCTGTTGAGATTTATGGTTCTCATGGCATGTGATATTAAGATTAAAAGTCTGCTGGGATGTGATACTGTGTAGTCTGGTAGAGAGGTATGAACGTATCAGTGGAGTGGACTCTTCTGCCTACTACTTTAGGGCAGAAGATTTTCCAAAGTGGCTATCTGCCTACCAGACTACACCCACTACCAGAAGACTGTCATCTTATATTACCCTTTCACTTTTATATCGGTTTAACTGAACTTCAGAAGCATGACTTTCATTTCTGAAACATACAAGGTACAACCTCTTTGAAGCTGTTGAAATCAGCACTATAATAAATATTGCACATTTTCATTGAAATATGCTTGATTCCAGTAATGAACTAGTGTTTCATATGGACTTGCAAGCAACATGCTGACAGTATGCCTAGAAGATGCTTCTTTCATTTCTGGAGATAGCAGATTTTGTTTTGTGTGGGGGAAGGAACATATCCTTCCTGTTCTTAGTGATTTAATATACTTCTACTCTAATGAGAAACAAGTCAGTACCTGTAATAGGGATAA